TAACTCGGATCGGAAGTCGGTCGAATGAGCTGGCTCACCGACAGACGACGACGACGACGACGACGACGACGCGTTTGTGAGCCGTGCAAGTAATTTTCGTGTACATACTCCCGACTACTCGCTATTCCGTGTGCGAGTCTGTTGTTTCTGATCCAGCGGAATACGAATCGGAGCAAGTCGTGCGCATATCAGGGTGGGAGGCAGAGAGCTAGAAACGCGAGCACACAGGGAAAATAGAGAGTTGTGTGAAATTGAGCCGAGAGTACGAGTACAACGAGAGTAGATAGAAGAGAAGAAGAGAAATGTCCTCGATGCCCAACGATGCCGCACCAAGGCACAAGCGAGCTGCTGAAGCTTAGTGCGTGCGAGGTGTACGCGCAGGGACACGCTGCAGGTCCACTGAGGCTGTCACGTGCCCCTGATAGAACGAAAACGATGCCATTGCCGTGTTCAAGGCACGTAAATTCAGGTGGACCCTCGGAAGACTGAAGACCTCAGGCTCGGGTGGAAAGTTTGCACGAAAACGTAAGAAATCTCACAGTGCCTACGGGATCCAGCTGGTCCGTTCCTGTTCGACGCGTTTGCAGCCACGTGCGAGGACAACCGAATAGTGAGGAGGTGGAGGAGGCGGAGAAGAAGCCGGTGGTGGCGGAGGTGGTGGTGATCGAGGAAGGAGCGAACTGCTCCGGTTCCTCAATCGTGCAAACATGAGACGTTGGACTCTCATGGCGGCTATAGCCCTGGCTGCATCGGGTGAGTTGTTGCGATACTAGCTAACCGATCTATCTCTCTTTTAGATACTCTGTGTCGCGGCACAGGCATATAAATACATTTTTCATTGTGCTGCTAGGCTCTCGTCCTAGAGACGATCGCTTTTCTCGCGACGCGAACGGTCGGAACCAGGTGTTGTGCTTTTCCATACAAATTTCAACCGTGTTTCTTTCGTTCTTTTTTCTTTTCTTTTCATTCTTTTTTTTCTAGTTGCCGGTTTACTTTCACTGTTTCCTGTTATTGTCTCTGTCTCTCTTTCTATCTATCTTTGCATTCGTCTACTTGTCCGTTTTATTTTTCTCCCTCTTGTCTCCAAAGCGCGATATGCTCTCGAAACGCACGAGACGGGTCTCTGCATGGGTCGCGCCGTAGGAATTTCCACACGGTGACGGTTTCGGTATTCGGGGCGATCTTTTACCCCTTTAAGCTGCGGCGATGTCAAAAACGCGGCCGGAACGATAAATCATCGCCAAATAATGACGCCTGTCAAAGCAGTTCTTACACGTCCGATCGAAATGAATTCCCGCTCGCGATTTGTTGCGTTAACCAATTTTCAATGACAGTCGGAGGATTAAAACGGAAGGATTTATATCGCGATATTTAAGCTTTCGTTCAGCGTATTTACGAGTCGTGATCTTTACGTCAATTAAAAAGACGTGTCACGTATTTCACCGGCCAATCTCAATATCGAAAAAGTAGCAATTCGTATCTCGAAATTTTGACAATCGTTTGTAGCAAATAAATTATTTTTTTTCTCTCTAGAGTTTTAAAGTATCAGACGTCAAATTTTCGACTAGATTCGAACGTCGTTAACCATTTCCACGTATTAGCGAAAGTTTTCTCTGAATGCTATGCAAACAAACGTATCACTTGAGCATTCGCGCGAATGCAAGTTCAACGTTCGACCTGTTTCGAGTTCGTTATCGTCGCGAGTGCTCAAGACGCGCAGCGATTTTCAAATGAGCCCGAGGGAAGGTGTTGCTTTGCTACGTAACGTGTTGGCAGCTTGACGTCATTGGCGACGCTTCCTGCGTGACGTGTGCGCAGCCACTCTCTCGTTAGTACGCTGATTCCGGCCCGCAGACAGAACGTACACACACTCGCAACGAAATTATTGCTGTCTCAATATTTGCGCACGTAATCTGACGGATATTTTTGTTAAATTTTCGTCAATGAACAAACGCTGTTCCGCGGCTAAATTTCTTTTTCGCCATGGCAATTTCTTCTATGAAGCTCGAAGCGTCTGTTAACGAGAAAGAAGAAGACGAGGTGGAACAATCAGCTTCCGATGCGGTAAATTTTAATTGACGCGATGCCGGATTTGTGACCGTTTCCTTATTCTGTTTTGCGGAACGTTTGATTAATTGGGACCACGATGAGAACGATCGTCGTCCTTCATCATCTGTCTTCCTCTCTGTCTTTGTCTATGTACAACCATGACGATGTGGGCGTAGGAAAGGATTTTCCGGTGTACAACTTGCCCACGCAATTTCCAGAGACCTGTCCCTGTGTTGCTTATTCGGAGCTGTTCGATTATAAACAAAAATGAGGGAGGAATTATGAAACGACGTTTATTTTTGCTCCTTGATGTGGATTTGGAATGTTGTCAGGAAATTTCTGAACAAATTTTAATCTCTTAAGGGATGCTGACGTACATGATTCAGGTTTTAACTGAAGATTTTTTGCAGAATGGCTAGATATACATATATTTTTGTTAGAAAAATAAAAGATGATTATCTTTTCTCGATCTTGTTAAATTCGTCCCTGAAGAAGCTAAAGATTGAAATTGATTGCTCCTGATAGATAAACGTCTGCAAATTCTTCAGTTCTGAAATTTTTTGGTAATTTTGATATTTTATGCAAGACATATATATGCGAGTGTCTTGTGATAAAAGGAACGAAAGCAAATAATCATGTTCCTTTTGTGACAAAAAGAACATAAAGAATGAATTTGCGAATCTACGTTTACAAAGATGTAGTCGATTTATGAACGTATCTGTAAATTTCCTAACAAGGTTTCCAATATATCCTGTGTGAATAATATATAATGCTTATACATTGTGTATACATACGTACACATATTAGACATCCATGTATATTGCGTGAAATATGAGTTGATCAACCGAATACTAAGCATACTAATTTCATGGCAATGCTTGACCATTAGAATTTGATCAAGACTGGTAAAGAATATGTATTTCGATAAATAGATATGGAAATATGAATACCTTGGTTTTTGGTTACTATACTTCATGTTCCGTTTTTTTATTACGGAAGTCCTGACTCTTTGTAGGAAATTGTTGATGTAAAATCGAAGAAATAAATTAATTGCCTTTATAATTCATTAAATACTCCAATTTGCTTGTTCAGTATCAAAAACTTTCAAAAGAAATTTTGTCCATTTCCATATTCTGATAAATATTGAAAACATATAAAATATTTTCTTTTACGTTACCAATATTTGCAACTGCTTCACAGTTTCATAAACCTCCAACTTCGATAAGATAACATCATTCTCTATTCCACACTTTGCAACTTCCGATATATTTTACGTTGTGTACACGTTATACCACACTCTATCTTCGCGTTATAGTTTCTCCGGTCTAATCGATCTCTCGTAAGAAAGATACTGGGATACAAACGTTAAATGAATTCGTGACAAGTTTCTCATAGAAGATACAGAAGAGCGATGATCGAGTGCCGATTACGTTGCTGTATTAAGCAGTTTGTCGATTACAGTTGCAGTTGATTCATTTCGTTCTTCTCCTCATGAACGTTCTTCCTCGTAAATAAGCCGATATGGGCCGAAGACACGATCGACGCGTCTTTTATGACCTATGTAAACATCGTAAAACACGAGTTCGGTGTTTCCCGTTCGCGTGAAACAGAGAAAACATAAAGTTAACGAGGAATCATCTGCCGCTTTTCATTTCTTTTACGTTCTATCGCAAAGGAAAAGAATGGGAAAACCGTTGATCGCTCCCGTAACTCAACGCGATACGTCGGTACGAGACGGGCGCACGTGCCGATTGCTGGTAGCGCGCGAAATACAAATGGCACGAGAACAGACGTTCCAAAAATGGACCAGTAATAATGAAACAAATTTCGAAACAACTTTATCACGCGCTAAAATAATGCGTCGTCGTGACGCAAAACCAGGGAAAGTAACAATACGTCTGCAGTAACGATAGGAACGACACTACCATTCCACCCTATTATGTAAAAGCTCACCCGTAATTTGCGCACTGTACTGAACTCGGAAAAATACGTGACCCATTGTAAACTTGTATATATTCTGAGATATATCGATGTACATCTATTCACTTAGATTACACGTGATTTCGATTTCATCGCGAAGATTTCTTCCGAGATTTCTGAACTAATTTTTAAACAAGTTTGATCTCTTCGAAATAACAATTACCATTCAATTACTAAAACCTTTTTATATTAAAGATAATTTTACAATCCCTTTAAATTTTTAAATTGATTATCTTCTCATAAAAATTGTTCCCAAAGGTTAAATTAATGTTTCGACATGTTCTAGCTTTATAACCTGCTTTAAATTTATATAGGAAAAATATTTTAAATTCTTTTATGAACACTGGACTCTTTGCTTACATAAAGTAGATAGAGAACTACGGGACGAAATTTAATAAAAGAAGCAACCAGAACACAACACCGATGCGATAAAATTTAATAGCAATCTAGATAAAAAGTTAATAGTAATTTAAAAAATAGAAAGAAAAGGAAGGAGAGATAATTTCTTTTATATAATACCATAAAATTTCATTCTTTCTCTGTCACGTAATCGCCATTGATTATTACAGTGATCGAGCCAGAGATCTACTTTATTTGAAATGGCAGCGGGACATTGAGTACCCGGGTGACCAATCGAAGCCGTACGATCAGCAGAGTGGAGGATCGGTGCTTCAGAGCACTCAGGGGGCTGTTTCCGAGCATCGACTCGCGAGTCGACAATCGGCGCCCATGCGACTGGACTCTATGTAGTATACACCGACGTCTGTCACGACGTTTGCAACACACGGAAAGGGCGACAGCTCATTCTCCGCAAATGTCGATGATTCGACGTGGCAGTCGTGTGATGTGTCGCTTTTCGTTGGTCCGGATTCGATTCTGCACTGTGCAGATGCAAGATTCCGCTCGCACACGCGTCGAGTACGCGCTCTTAGCCTGTTGGCTTGACTGCATGCGTAAGCGTGTACTTACGTGTGTGGGTGGCAGTGGGCGTATGTGGGTGTACAACAGCGGAATATCGAGCGCGCGCGCCTGGTCGTTTGAAAAGCGGAGGACACTGTACGAGAGAGCTAGCCTTAACACACGGTCGCACGGTTGCTGCTGCAACCGAGATACACGCACAGGCGCATGAGCTATATATGTAGAGGTCGAATGTATATAGAATATGTGGATGTGTGTCTGTCTGTGAGCGCGCGTGGGCGAAATCGCACGCTCACAGACTCGTCTTTCACCCTCTCTTTCTCCCTCACTTGTCGAGCGCACGACTCTTTCGACAGGCGCGATCATGCACGTCAAGAGTGAAAACTGTGCCAAACGCTGCGAGAAGCTCCGGGAAAACAAGCTTTCAGCTGCTGCCTGTTTTTCCCACCGCAGCCACTGTCTTTAACGGGACCATCGTTGACCAACTTTTTTTTATTTCTTTTATATCTTTTGGATGGTTTGTTTAAATTTGAAACATACGGATAAATTTTTTCTATTTCTTCAGAATATTCGTGGTCAGTGTTTTTCGTATAATATACTTTATTGTTTCTCTCTGCTGTTCATAAATTTTACCTTCGATAGTTAAACAGTACCACTTCAACTTCTCATTTTTTGTGTTTAAGAAATTGTTTAAAACATAATTCTGATATTTCACGTTCCTTCAGACAATATCGCGTTATAAATGTTTATTTTAATGTTAAGGCTGCTTTTGTTTTGGATTTTTTTCTATTTTCGTTCGAAGGAAT